AAAGTTCATCCCAGAACACTGAAATAATATTTGCCCTGTTGGTAAGGACATCTTTTTACAAACTGTTACCCACCCAGACGATTAAATTTGAATTACTTGCACCTAGAAAATGGTTTCTATTTGATGCAATATTATGAATTTGATGTTTCATCAATAATCGTCAAATGCTATGTCTGTTATTCGTTGATTACAAAAGCAATTTTTCAAAATTCATATTGAGACTTATGTCCAATTCCATATAGTTCATTAAAAAATATATAATTCATATGAAAGCTTGTATTCATATGGTACTTGGAGAGCCAAATCAGGATGAACACTCAACACATAACATATATAAATGATATGTAAATATGTAGCTAAAAAAGGAATTTTTCCTGCGTCGCCATAAGCAATCAGAGATGTAGAAACCTCTCCTCTAGTCTGTCTGTGAGGGATTCCTTCTTTATTTAATCTGTATCTCCAACGGTTTGAATTCAAAATTACTGAAACTTTGCTCAGTGATTGTTTATTTATTGAAAATGTCATTTTACCTTCCATTTCGGAATAATTCAGAAAAATGATATAATTCTTTTAATTGTTGAGCGTATTATCACCGTGCAGAATTGACCCTTTTTACAAATTTTCTTTTGAACTTTTATTTTAAACTTAAATACAATTTTTGTCAATTATTTTCATTGAAATTAGTTTTGAATCTTTATTTATTGCTGGACTACGAAATACCGAATTATTTACTTAATTGCATAGTGACACTCTCTGGACAATTGTTGAGAACTACAAAGGGACAGAGTGTTAACGCCGTCACTAATTTCGATGTGTTCCCGTTTTGCACACATTTGATAATTAGGTATAGAACAATAGGTGTTAAATATGTTTTGATAGCAATTATAGTCTGATCCCCGTCTGGGATTTACCTTGAGTTACCTATATTTCACCAGAGAGTGTAGACGACGCAGGTCCAGATCTATAATTCGGTTTGGTTTTATTAACACCTGATTTTTGTATGAAGTCCTAATATGTGATATGGTTATTAATGGTTATGGAAATTATCTTGTGAAAAGTCTGTGACACGTTTGGTCTGTCGATTGTATGACTGGAGACAGAAATCTGACATAATGTGAATACAAAGTCAATCCATATCATTTGCATGAAGTTGATTTTTACTGACCACCTTTGAGGGAACATATTGGACAATATGCTTCTCTGCCTGGACCTAGTCCAGACCGATCTTTATGACGCCCAGATGCACGCAACTACCGCTCATAATTCATAGTTAGCTATTGTTTTGCACCTGTATTTATCGATTATTATTGATTGGCGATCTAATAAAGTTGTTTATGTGATGGTCACTTTGTATGTGTTTTTGTGGTTACCTGTGGGCTGTACTTGGTTCTCGCTCCCCTGTTCATCAGTATTTTTTCAGTCTGGTGAAGGTGTTTGATCAGACTATAGTTTATTTACGACATACTGATTAATACAGGTGATTATTGCTTTTATTGGGGAGCAACCAAAGGCGTTATCTGTTCACATACTGGGAAATATAAATTATAAGTAGAACCTGTAATATACCCAATGAACATCACCGATTTCTCGAGTAACCCCTATCGGTTTATTTTTAGTAGAAATAGTCAGAGTCCATGGTAAGGACCTCTTTTATTTCAGTGATATCTTTTGCATCATGGTCCCAAGTTACTCAAACAGGAAGGACACCGAATCTTAGGTACCCATTTAATTAAAATTAGCCCTACTTACCTACTGTATGCACTTCCTATTGCAAAATTTTGTTTGGGTACTATTGGGAATATTTAATGACTAAACGTTAGATATCAATCTATTACAAACAGAAAACAAACAAGTATTGACGTCAAATTGGTCCAGGACAAAAGGTGAATGCACCCAGAGTGAGATAACACCTCTTGCGTGTGTTTACCGAGGGTTTCCTTTACATCTCTGTTTCCTCTGCCTTATGACAAGTAACATAGGCAAGGTCTGTATGATCACGAGGCTCATGGGCCAGAACGCTCACGAAAGTCACCTTGTTCGCTAGAAAATTTATAAAACTTGAAACAGATCCCCCTTTTTATTCACATTTTTTACCCACCAGCCTCCAAGGGTCATGACATAACCGATTTTGAACCATACATTATGGGGATACTTCAGTGCCAATATGACTGACATGTCCTTACTTATCTGGAGAAGATTTTTGAAAGATTTTCTTTCTAGTATACATGTATTTTGAAAAAAATGATCTCCTATTTTAGGCCTACCTTACCTAATGGTTCATAGTTTGAAAGTACAAAAAGATGAATCCACAGAACTTGGGAATATTTGCATATTGATATTAGTTGGCCCTGCTACTCTCAGAGAGACCTTTTTAAAACAAGAAGCACATGGGCCATATCCCTGAACTGAGAACTTTGGCTTGAGAAAAGCAGAAATCATTTCAATATTGAAAAGATTAAATATATAAGTGGTCCCCCGGGGACCATGATTTGAGTAAAATCAAATCTACACAATGTAATAAAGCTTTCACATAAGTTTCGTCTTTTAATTTATGGTCCAGTGGTTATTGAAAAGAAGATTTTTAAAAGATGTTATACTGATTCTTAATTATCTCCCCTTGAAAGAGGGCGTGGCCCTTCATTTGAAAAATTTAAATCTCCTTTACCCAAGGATGCTCTATGGCAAGTTTGGCTGAAATTGACCCAATGGTTCTTGAGCAGAAGTCGGAAATGTGAAAAATTTACAGACGACACACTACAGACGGGCGCCGGACACCCTTCGATCAGAAAAGCTCACTTGAGCCTTCGGATCAGGTGAGCTAAAAATTTATTTCTTAAGTATTCCTATGTTAAACTTTGATCCCCTGTTGTGGCCCATCCCCCCCCCCCTTTTGAGGGTGGCGGGTGGGTGGGCATGATTTTCATGAAATTGAATCTGCACCAAACGAGGATACTTGCACATTAATACATGCATGACTAAATGACCCTGCTGTTCTTGAGAAGAACTTTATAAAGATCCTCGATATATTCCCCTGTAGAACGTTGAGCCCCTATTGTGGCTCAATACCACCCCGGGGGACCATGATTCGAACGTTTGCATATCAAATGACTGTGCTTTTTTGTTTCTGTTTTTTTTGTTATGTATTCCCATATAAAACTTCGATCCTTGATTGTGACCCCACCCTATCTAATAATTCATATTTTTGTCTGGAATCAGTCTTGAGAACCCCCCTCCCCCCATTTCCAACCTTGGATCGTTCGCGAGGCTTGTTAAACATTAGTTTGGTATAGATAATAGACAACAAACCGAAATGTGTGAAACGTTTTATGCAGTATTCTTTTTAAAGGCCTTAAATCGTGACAAAAGTCTGCAATAGGATTAAAAGAACGTTTCTGTAATCGAATTACTTGCTCGCCTTAGCATATCAATTCATGTTATTCGACTGAAAACTCATTATATCAGGTGTACTTAAATTAATATATCTAGTATTATATTCTTGCATGTGTTAAATTGATCACGTTTCCCCGTGTACCACGTCTTATCACGTTGTCTATGCGACTGCAGGAAGAGAAATGAAATTTGACTGTTGAAGTTATTTCCAATTGAATTGATTTCACATTTCTTGATACACATAAATACAACTTACTATACGTCTAACCATATATAGATGATCTCCTATTTAAAAAAATAAATAAATAAAAAGCTAAGTGTGAACCGGAAAAATTAGTCGATATTTCGATCTTTATTCTTTTCTTGTCAGCAGTGCTCGCCCCTTTCCCATGAAGCATTACCGTATACATTTAAAACAATAAAACACTATTATTTTATCAAAATTCTATGTACAATATACGTATATATATAGAGGATTTCATGTCTTGTAGGTGGAATTCATTTCATGATTGGTATAGGATTTTGCGAAGTACGAGTGAAAATTCATGTCCCGCGCGTAAAATAAATTCCATAATAATACAAATTCAATGTTAATTTTCCGTGTATTATATCTTTGGTTTTCCCTTTGACTCTTTTTGGATACCGTCATATAATATTAGATGTAGTCGGCATTATTGACATAAACAATAGTACCGAGTAGTATTTTTAAAATCATCACACGTAGTTGGCAACTCTTTGAGAGTTTCGTGTTCAAATTTCCATTCCCCTTTGTGTTTGCAGGGGAAGGGGGGGGGGGGGTTAACAGACCAACAGAGGAGCTAATTTTGTGTCAACCAATTTGTTTGGCGCCATCATTGGCGTTCATTGCTCCACCTGGTTTGTCATAAAAGTCAGTCATTATACCGCCGTAACCACAAAACCCGAAGAAAATATAAAATCCGGCTATATATATAGCCTCTTATGATGGATATGTATGCAAATGTATTCAACCAAATGCCAAGAGTTAGTCTAACGTAAAAATCAACGCAAGTCATTACTAAAGACGCACACGGACCGCAGAAGACTTTATAAATGCACGTTCTTCCATTTTAAAAAAACATGCCTCTGTCTCCAGTGCGCAGGAATTGACCACCAAAGATATAGGTCGGTTGCCTGCAGGTGTAACGCATTGTCCAAAGTTGGAATTAAATTGGATCTCCTTGGGCTGGTATCAGATTACGTAGATATGTCACCCCAATTCTTGTGATTTATACAGCTCTCTTTACTTTGAACTATTCTAATGCTAAAATCACCGCTACCACATAAAAGCAAACGAGTTTACTTTGCAAATATTGTGTTATTATATAATGTCTGGTGACAGAGAAGTGACTGCAGTGGTTTTCAAGTGGTTCTACGTAAATTACCACCCTAAAATATGGCACCACATTGCCTGACACCAAATACAAATGCACCTTCAAAGGATTCCTGAAGCACGTTAAATTTCTCCATACCAAAATCTAAGAGTACTTTTACATATAAAAGTACATGCCTTCAGATTTTCCGCATGGGGGGGGGGGGGGGGGGGGGGGGCAACTTACTTCTAATGAATAAAAACCAATGAAGGCATCATATTTACTTTAAATTATTTTATTTTTTTCAATAAGTACGTTTTCCATATTTTAAAAATGTATTTATATACACATGTGTAGTATGAGCATATTTTTAGATATTTTCATTTCACACAGCAGTGTAAAGATAACATATTTTGGTCTGTGTGCAACAAAATTACAAATATATTTTGATGTGTTATGATGTACAAATGTCAAAATTCATATAGCTTTGATCCATTAAATAAAGCAAAAAATAAGTAAATTTCTTATGATCAGTTGAAAGAGTTTATACCTCTGGGGGATTATATAAAATATTACATAAAATATTCCAAAAATAGAAGCTCTGCTACAGAGAGAATATAAACATGTAATGTCCTCACTTATGGGTGTGAGGCACATCTAGGAACTAAAACTACGGGGGATACAAACTCTCTCCAACTGATCAGAAGATGCTGTACTTAGTGTGTATATTCTGAGATCCTCGTATTTAAAGCTGACATTTTCATTAATTGATACTTTTATAACCATTTTCTTTGCTTATTCAGACTTTCTGTTTTAATTATCTGAATGAATAAGATTTATCATAAAAAAATTCTGAAATAAAAAGCTATTTGTAGTTAAAATTCCAAAATATATATCAACACATTAAAATTTTTCCATCATATAAAAATAATGATTCTAAAATAATTATAAATGTATATGAATAGAATTTGATACAACAGTGATAAAAAATATATAGGCATGGTGACAAATGTGTATTACATTTGACTTATAGATTGGTAAGCAGAAATAACATAGTGAGGTGGGATAAATGCCTTATGACATATACACACATATATGTATGAATACTGATTTTTTACTTAACTATAACAAAGTATATTTTATGTAAGGCAGTGCTTTAATCTAGTGGCTGACCTTTGGTTTAAGTCCCATATTTTTAAAAAAAAAAGTTTAAATGGATCAATTTAATCTTTTGAATACAAAAAAGTCTAGCTACTTAGATTATCAACAAATCAAGTGCTGTTGCTTTCTTTAGATGTCTCTTCTTTAAAAAAATGGTAAGTAATTAAGTTTTCATGTTTCAACACATATCCCCCCTGCTGCAAGTCACCACTAGATACTCAATACACTGGCCTTCAACAAAAATGAGATCATCATGATTATATTTACAAATTTAAGCCTCCAGCACTATATCTGATGTCTTACAATGAGCATTAAGTACATCTTCTGTTAGTCTGAACACAGAAATTCATCATCAGTTTTTGATTCGTTGTCATTCCTAAGCATACAATATTAAGAGCACACCAGGTCACATCAAAAATCTGATATTTATAAAGACATATTCTCTTTTTTGGCCCTTCATCAGAATTCAGGCCTCATTATGGACCTTTGTTGGGGCAATATCTGAATGCAAATATTTCAGAGTGATCACAGAAAAATTTTTCATGTGAACACACTTCTGTCTTTATTCTACATAAATGTTGCCCTTATAATGAACTTCAAGCACCAGTGAAATCTGTCATCTAAATTTTGGCAATCAATAATTACCGCACATGTACAACTTTTATACTGAAATTTTTTTTCAGTTATTATATACACATTTAGAGAATATATACAGCATCTGTATACATTTTAGCACTATCACAAATGTTCTTTTTACATATTTGGCAGTATAAATTAAGTAGGAGTTTCCTACAGTTTATGGAATGTCATTGCAAGCCAGTAGGCTTTCATTCTTTGTGATGACCAATCAGAAGGCCAAGCCTCATTTTGGTCTGAGCCGGGACTCCTGCCTTAGGCCGACGGCATTTTGGTCACCACATTATCACAGCACTATGTGTGCAACAATGAATAAAATTCCTAAATACCATTCTCTAACTATACATAGGTTTTATCAGGCACAGGAATGTTCAAAACTGGTTTTTGTAATGCACTCCCATTGGGTAAATTGGAGCCCTTTTGGATATTTGTCACTATGAGATTGAGTTGCTTTTGAGAATTGTTGCGCTCGAGCTGAGCATGATTCACATAACGTGGCTCATTGTCTTTGAGTTTGTTGTGATTTTTCTGTAAGGAACCATAAATTTCTTCATTTGTGAGCTGGTTTTCCTGGGGTTCACTTCTGCAGGATCGGACCCAGTATCCGGCTAGGAAGGACAGTATGGAAGACACCACAATAGATACCACAATAGCAATGGCGGTTTCTGCCACAGATAGGGAAGATTCTGACGAACTTCTGACTTCCTGTGCTGAGGCTGCCTTCACTTCTGCAAAATTTGAATATATAAATAAATAAATATGAAAAAAAAAATATATATATATATATATTCACAGAGTTTATGAACTCTATTCCTTGAAAAAGTAAATAAAAGTAACAAATGAATATGAAATATGCTCTGCAATAAATTTTCACTTATAATTTATGAAATGGAGACATTTATGCCATACTAAGATTATAAATTAGATAAATTGAATACATTAACATTTGATTATTTTTACATTAAGTATTCAAACTGATATCAATGAAATGGTATGGCATAGAATTAATGTGATTGGACACAAAATGTGATGATTGTGGCACACTGGATTATACTGACTCATGATGATTGTAATGTTTCTGTCACCTCACACCCCCGACACACGAAATACCCACACAATGCACTCACAGTTGTTCCTAACTTCCTCCTATTGCTTTATTTATCTTTCTCTAATGGTCTATAGCTCTGATTTGTTTAAATTTAAAGATAGCAAATGAATTCTTAAACTCTTTTTTTGCCATATTTTTCTGTCCATCGGTTGCCTGTATGTTAAAGCTCTGATTATCAGTGTTTGTAGAAATGAGTTCTTCCCCTACTCTGCTACTCTATGCCTATAATTACTGTCACAATGGCTTACAGATGGAGAAACTGGCCACAGGCAGTTTATTTTTTACCTCTGAGTCAGCCATCTTTGTGTACATCAAGTTTGCTTATTTGACTTTTTGATCATGACAGATATGATGAACGCTGTCCTGAAATCATCTCCCTGAGACAGTTAATGATTGCATCTAAGGTTTTCTATTAGATAAGAATGCACTAGCAATACGTGTTTCGTCCAACATAAATATTTGTATCCACAACTGCCATCAGCAATTGGTTAATAGGAAAGTCTAGTAACACAGAATTAGTAACAGACAAAACAAACATAAAGAGACAACTCACAAACAACAGTAATAAAATAATTCAAAAAACAAAACAAAATGCAATCATGCATGAAGCAATGTGATTGGTTAAAATGATAAAATGAAGATCAGTGACCTAGGGTAAGTATATTTTACCCATGAATGTATATACATGTAGATGCTGGTTAAATACGATGTCGGTTCATGACACTGGTGAATTGCACCACATGATATGACAACAGCTTACCAGAATCTTTGTTCTGGCTGTTTGCACCAAACTTTTGCACAATTTCAAATTGTTTAAAGTTGGGATTGCCTTTCTTAAAGTTGGGATCGATTTCCGAGAAGTCTTCAGGAGCGTTATCTATTTCATCCTCTACTGAAGAATAAAAAGTTTGTCTGTTTATATGTTGAATTACATAATATATGGGAATAACATATCCTGGACGTGCATGGGTTACATTCTGCAATCAAATTAGTTTGTGTATAAATCAAAATTATATACTGTATTAGTTGTGGGTATTTTTGCTCTATGTAAAATACATTCTATCTACATACAGTGGATAGAAAGCAGATTTTACTTCAAGACAGTGGACACAACTAAGACTATAGTGAATATATGAAGGTCAGACAGACACTAACCATCCACTTCCACTGGTGGATCCGGTTTTTTCGTAGGTTGACCTCCAAGGATATTATTTTCATTGCTGTTGGGACATTGACAGTCGCACTGAGGTTTTTCAGTGGTGATTTTCTTGGGTTTTGGTGTAGTTGATGGTGATAATGTGGATTTTTCTAATAAAAATGGGATTGAAATCAAAAATAAACATAAGTTCATAACAAAAAACAGCTAATCAACAACAACAAAAAAATATGTTAAAATGTTGTCCAATCGACTGGCAAAGATAGAAAAGAAGAAGAAACAGAGAGCAAAAAGAAACCTGGTAACACTAGCATGAAAACCCTTTATCAGTTGCTCAACTGATTCAAAATGCCAATTAATTTAGAAAATAAAATAAAAAACAGGGAAAAAAAAGAAAATCACAAGACTATTACATACCTTCAGGACCACAGGCAGAGTGAGTGCCAGAGAGAATGCTCTGTATCCTAAACAAAAAGAGAGGAATTTGAAACATTTCAAGATTCACTGATTTAGATTTTTTTTATGAATTATTCCATATTTACAACATAAACCAATAAAAAGTCTGCTAGATATATCTTATGACACCATGTCTCCCTGTTCGTCATTCATGACTTTTCTAACTGGGTTAATCAAATGACTTATGTCACTGTTCTTCCTCTACAACATATGAATAATTAATAATTTTGTTCTGAATGCCGGGGTTAGTTTTTGTGTGGATATTTGTCTACTTTTCTTACCCTCTATCACTAGCTGCACACTTGTCATCAACCCATGAACAGTAAGGGTCCTGAAGTCTCACACAAGAACTAAAAAGTGAAGAAAAAAAAACATTTTGAAAAAAAAAATCTTGAAATTTTAGACATACCTTTGAATATATATACTTTTTAAACTGACTTCTATATTCATTTTCTGCATTTATTTACTTCCATGCTATAAAAATTATATAATGGGAAAGTTAGAGTCAAATTCTTGTGAACCCATTAATAGTTTTCGTGGTATAAAATATGTTCTCAGATTTATTGTAATGCAAAAATTGAATTACCATACTGCATTATACCAGGTTCATAAAACTAACATAAATTTAATACGTGTCACTTGAAAATCCTATGTGACCAGATACATCTTATTGAATTGCTTTAAAATGAGGTAAAAAATGGTAGCTATTCCTTATTGAATAAGCAAGATGTTTTTGAACTAAACATCTCCAAGTACACCTGAACAAAACATTTAGATGCATCTTCCCCATGTAGGTATTGTCCTCCTCTTAACAAATACTATGCTTTGTCATGAAATATGTGATTCAATTAAACATCAATGCATGGATGGTTGAAGCAAAAGATAAAAATCATGGCATAATGAATACACATAGACCCCCATCCTCTTGTGTTTGCCCACCACCCATAAAGAGGGGAAGAGATCCTATTATTAGACCTACTGCATTCCATGCTACTTTAAGGCCAATGAACAAGCAATGTCCAAGATTGGAATGAAGATGTCTCTATGATGCTATCCTAATTTGTAATCTGACAAATCTGTATAATCCTAGTAAAAGAGGACATGTTACACTCGACTGATTTTAGTGAAACTAGAGAGATCTGTTCATCTGCATTAGTGGTTTTCCTTTCTCATTTCAGGGCTATAGGTTATTAAAAATGGTTTGCATATAGGACTCAACATATTAACAATGTGTAGACACTAGTTGGTAAATGACAGATCATTACACTGAATGCACCTTGTCTGACAACTAGAAGCAATGCAGACCTGTCTGATTGTTTCCTGCTTGAATCTGATGTTTTATATTAATTAGCTATAAATTAATTAGCTAGGGATGTGAAAAACTGAACAGACAGAACCTTATAAAAAGATATGGACTTCTAGCAGTCAGAGACACTTGAGATCTTCTTGAATACTGGACCAAGGTTTACATGAGCTTATTAAGAGGTGGTAAAACATGTATAGTATGGGCTCTTTGATGTTTCTCCAGAAATGGGTACCCCCAGCACAGAATAACAGTGGTATTATAAACTATACAGTCTAACAAGGCCATAATTTTCACAAATACTAGGCCAGTAAGTGGGTGAATTATATCTCTTCGTGCACCATGACAGCATTAACTGGCTGATTTTAAATTCTTTCTGCTCAGATATGGATTTGTTTTTTAACCTCTGCTGTTTTTGTCACTATTTCATATCTTAGAGCAATGTACAGCAAGGTAACATTCATTTCCCATACCTGCAAGAGTCCTGATGTTCACACTGATGAAGAGGAACCGAGATGACTTTCTCTTTCGAAACAACAATCAGTTTTTCTTTTCCATTAGCTCTGTATATCTTGAGTCCAGTGACAACATACTCCTCCGGGAATACCTGAATGTCCTCTACCACCACAGTCTCAACCTTTGACCCATGACCTTTATTGATGACCTTGATAACTCGTCCATTATCTGTGAATATAAAAAACCCCTAACTTTTGATTATCTACCAATATGTCAATAACTGGATCTTTCACATAATATATATCTCAGTTCTGCATTTTTAAATGTTATTTCATGTCAAAAAATCATAAACCCTGTCAGAATTATCCTGAGAAATAGATAGGTTAAATGGAAGCTTATGAAGTCTAGTTGAATAAAATTTATGAATCTCAACAGTATTTTGTTCCACTACTGTGTAATAATGTGCCTTTCATACACATAATTGCCTAACTGAGCCATCATAAGATATTTAAATCTTTTTAAATCAATGACAATTGAGCGATTCACTGAGCAGCTTCAATAGGGCACCAATATTTAACCAAATGCATTTATATGTATTGAAAGCAATTTTGAAATAGCAGTCATTATCTTCTACTTTACTTCTCCCACAAAGTGGTACAAGGAGACAGCAGACGATAATGCATACAATTACGTCTACCCAGACCCAAACGAAGTGCTTATCTTGGCCTAGGTACTAAGGAGGCGACAAACAAATCCTGTCTTCAGGACCCCAGATATGATATGTAAATTGTCTATAAAACTTCAAAAAACTTCAAATATTTTTATGATTCCACAAATCATCTTCTGTAAAAATTTAGATTTTCCGTGATGATAGACAAGGGGTCATATTTACATACACTCAGTTGTTATGTCACAGGGATATTTATAACACATTTTCTGTCAAAATTGCTACCCCACATGCATTAGTGCAAAAAAAAAATTGCCACCCCTTGAAGAACCTTGAAATATTTTGAAGACTATATAGTTTCCATGCAATAAAAGCATCTCAGTGTGCAATGAAAGCTCGGTAAAGTAAACTCACCAGTTCCAACGAAAATGACATCATAGTATCTGCCATCACCAGCATGAACCTGCCAGTCAACTGCAATCTGGGTCATTCTGCCTCTGAAGTACAGAAACATATATGAAAGCTGTGCAAAAAAGAACCTCCAAGCACCTGGCTTCACATGATAAGATAGGCTGGATTTGATTACTTGTCTGTGCTGTGTCTCATACTTGCATTTAATGTGATCACTTTTACTACTTAGACATTACCACACAGATGTATCTGAGGGAGTTCTTCGCTATCTCAGAAATAATGAGATTTTCAGCTTGATATTTCTTTAAGATAAATAAACCATATTTTTTTTAAGTATATTTTTAGAGCTATAAGATTTGACTGTTTCCAATCAATCTGAGACAATGTTACATCATAGCCTCAATGTCTGACTTCCTGTTTTACAATACTACAACTGATGACTAAATTACATGCATTAACTCCTATTTGATGTGTAAAATTTTTGTGAATTGTAACACTTCCACTATCAATCAAGTTAAAAGAAGGTGGGATACATGGTTTAATGAAATGACATTTACGGAAAACGGGGCCATAAAATACAGAGCGTAATCAAACTTGGAACAATACTAAGCATAATTCTTAAAGGAGACAGAAATACTGTACAATCAATCAGGGGGAACACCTCATTTCTGACAATTCATCACAAGTTTATGATAAATATTAATTAACTGACAGTATTGACTTTTTTCATCTAATAACCTATTTCTACAGTAGTTTATTATTCCATATTTAGGGGATTTATAGTTTTTCTAACTGTTAAACTCTCATCACGGAGTTAATTAACTTGCAAAAGGTTATTTTTACACAGTGGTTAACTTACAATAAGCAAAGACAGGACTCTTTTGTTGTGAGGTCTCTTCAGATATCTGCTTTTGATTGTGTATTTCTGAGATGTTAATAAAGTGTGAACTTCAAGTAAATCTTAAATTTATCTTAAATACTTACTTGAAAGTGGGTAGAGCAATGATCGGACTTCCCCCAGCACTGGGAACAGCTTCATCCATAAGAGTGTGTGATTTGATGAAATTGAGCATTGGTTCAGAGATCTGGTATGAGTCATTGACACAGGTGCTGGGGTGTGGATTCCTGTCAGGTTTAGGGTGTGACACAGGGAGCCAATTATGATATGTTGACTCTTGACCTTTGAACTTGCCTTTAAATGTTTTTTCGATATCTGATAATTTGAATGCACACACTGCTGAGCCCTGGATACTATTTTCAGGAGTGCGAAAGACTGCATAAAACATGTCTGTCCTATTATCACTTCTATCCGTTGACATGTAGTTTCCTTGACCCATTTCTGATGTAGATTCTGTAAGAGAGACATGTAAAAGGTAAAAGTACTCTTCTTGTGGTTCAATAAAAGTATGCACACTTTACGTCATTTACCCAATGCTATTCACTTCAAGGAAAAGCATCTTTGACAGGTATTAAACTTCTTGTGAGAGTGTTACATAAGAATTTCCATTACAGTCGCCACAAAAAAATTTTCTTCCAGAGCAGAGAGTAATAATTGTCTGTATATAAGAATCTGTTAAGAGTTCTACAAAGGTATTGTATCCAGACCTAATGACAGCTTTATTATAGCAGGAACAATACACAAGGTAATAACCCCACAATTTCTCTGGAATTCTCCTTAATTTGTATTTTTATTTGGGTATAATCAGATAGTTAAAACATACATTAAAGTACATAGTTCTAATTGCTGTCAAATTGTCACATCAGTGAAGGTAAGAATTCCTTCCTTGTTATTACAGCCCAATGGAGATTGTTTAATCATTAGGATTTCTCTGTTTAATTTGAGGACACTTACGAATTTCATCCAGGTAGTAGGGATATTCTCCAGGTATGCTACAGTTTAATCTGGCCTTAAAGAATGAAGTCCAGATGTTTTTCATCATAATTTGGCCTCCTCTGTCATTTTTACACACTCTGGCCACTCTTGAGAACACCGTCTACAATGATAAAATTAATAAATTTGCTAAAAAATACATGCACTTGTTACTTTGTAAGCTTAAAAAAAACAAGTCAATATTTCACTCTATAGAAGATTTCACAAGTTGAAGAGTAATAGACTATAGATGCACGTGCAAGACAAATATATTTGTAACAGTTCTGTAAAAAATGAGTATATTTTTGGCTCTAGCATTTGCTATCCAATTTGTCACATTTAACATATTGCTACCATGATGCTATTAATCACAGAAACCCTGTATGCTTCAAGATTCTCATGAATGTATAATTTTTTCAACAACTACTTTTTGGGCATAATAATAAATTCCATCTGCAATAGCCTCATCGCCAAAGGTACAGGTAATTTGTTCTTCCGCCAGGTAAGGTGGCAGGGAGTGGGTTTTGACAAAAATGGTCACAGTTGGAGATTTACTGAAGATGAAATGTGTTGTCAGAGAGTTGGACAGTGACTCTGAACAGTGACAAAATATGGCTGACCAGAAAGGCTGGAACACAGGGTGCATCTGGTTCTGGGATAATTATGAATTTATTAAAGTCAATGAGAAATAAATTACCTTTCCACAATTGATATGTTCCACTGCAGTCTCCCGAAAGAAGAAGTAGATCTTATCTTTAATGTCAAAGGAACTGACAAAGTTAGGATCTGGAGGTAGATAAATTAGAACATAAAAATTGTGAGGTGATGATTACTATGTATGTACTGAGGTTTCTTAATCCATTCATTTTCATAACAAGAGAGACAGATTTAGCAAAGCAATATCGTGTCAAAGTTATCAAGCTCATCTTGTCATAAATATAACCTTTACTCTCGGTCTATGTAAATTTAACACTTATGATGCTACCAAGTGCAAAATTATAAAAAGGTATCCTAAATCTGCCCTAGAAATATCATCTGATTTTGAGAAAGTTAATATTTTTAGAAACAAAACTATATGGGGTGAAAATATATGTTTTGCAAGGTAATGTCACATGATGTTGAAAACTTAAGATGTATAGATAAAGCCCTTCTATAACAAGGGCTGTTGACCATTCTGAATAAACACATATTTATGGGAAAATAATTCTTTACAAAGTCTCTCAAGCATCTCATTCAAGAAATACAAAAGTCTTCATAACAAAAGCTAAATAGGTCAACTTCTCAAAAACACATACACAACTATAAAAATTTTTACCTAATCTAGATAGATTCATATTTTTTTCTAAATATATATATATATGTATCCTTTAAAGTGCTTATTTCACATATTATATGTTGAATATATGAGGAGTACAAGTAATTAGAAGAACTAAACTAGACCAACAATTCCTCTCTATATTGAGAATACAAGAATTTTGAAAATTAGAAATTTTAAATTTTCAAATGCAGTGAGATGAAGTACCATTCAGCCATTTGGAGTCATGCTGTTCAGTCCTCAGAATATTTCGGCCATAATCGGTGCTGAAAATAAGTGGGTCTCTCTCAGAGAAATCGGACACAGTGGCGGAAAACAGCTTGCCATCTGCAAAAAACACAAAAAGAGATAAACTGATTAATTCCTGATTGGAAGTCTGTCTGGTAAATTACAGAACACCAAAACATATCTGGAGGTTCAAAGGGTCTGTTTGCTTGGACAGCCAATAGATAGTGATAGGCAAGCTTATCTCTGACAAAGAGTAGGTCTGCATGTTCTTAACGACTCAACATCAGACTTATTAAACTCAACCAAGCATGGATTACTGCAATAGCTCCTGTATGTCTGCTGCCATGATAGACAATTTCATAGCATAATCTTTTACTTCCTTTTTGTTTCAACTCAACATATTAAAAATATGATAGAGGCATGAGTGATCTTTTTGCCTTTTATTATTTTATGGCTTTGAGTAGGCAGTTTTTGATGAAGTCTCTTGTCATGCAGACTCTATTTAATATAATGACATTATCACTACTGGCCAAAATGTCTAGCTGGAAGCCATTTCTGGGGGGTGGTCCAACATTGACGTATACACAGCTCCATTATACTTTTTTGTTTTCCAATCAACTACCTAAATCTGAATGTGCTTACACTTTAGTTAACCAAGTGCATAATCTGCAGTTAGACAACTGCTGAGTTCTATAGAAGCATTATAACAGACCAGTATTACCATGCAATTTTCTAAATCCCAGTAGGAAAACATAATGTATTAGGAATGGAGATATTATGGAAATTGGGGATTAGCACTATCCATTAGGGTTAAATGGATGTTGATTGAATGGCACTGCAAATGATTTCAGACATATTGTTCATAGGGAATATGCCTATCAGGAATCCATTCTTAAAATGAAGTTGACTTTCTTACCAAGTAGTGAAATACATGTGTATTGAAAATTCAATTAGACATAATGAAGCACTGATATGACATGGCAACATTGCTGTCATGTTGTACCCACATTTGATTTGGGACTGACCTGAGAATACATAAGTACTGTTGTGGCTTGGATCAAAGGCACAATGTCCGATTCCTTTCTCCTCTGCCTTCATTACATATGTCATCTCCTAAATAGAAAATTATGAATTTCCAATTACCTGGATGATAAACTTTCTTATTAAAAAAAAAAAAATATATATATATATATAAATATAAATATATTTACTCTAGCATTATGATATACATGTATTGAGAGGTATAGTACTAGAATAAATATTTCTTTATGTGTTCTGTTTTCCAGGTCTTAGTTTTTAAAACTTAATTAAAATGTTCATGCTGTTTTATTTAGATTATAAACTCAAAAGAGTGCATTAAAAGACAATGTTTGTTTAATATGGCATTATAAGAATTAGCCCAAACTTATTTCTTCAGAGTATTTATCCATTTTAGGCCAATTTTAGGAAAATAAACATCCTGTTATTCAGGAGAGCATTTGCTCTTAGTTGATAATTTGTTTGCTTGCCTCACGTTAAAGTTTAGTTTGTTGAACTTTAGAAAACCACTAATTTAATAGTCTTATTGGTGACCTTTCGGGGACTTTGGTCAAAGCAGGATGTTGGGTTAACTGGCTCTATCATTAAACACTGCCCCCTCCCCCTCCCCCCCCCCACCCCACACACAATTGGTCCATCCCCTTATAATATACTGAGTCATCTGTAATCTATAGGGTAGAATCTTATGTTACAAGGATTCATTATTGTAACAAAGAGGCTATTGCCCTGTATCAAATCTACTTAATTGTTGTTTTTGTATCACAAAGTTTACAAAATTTTGTGAATTCTTGGAAAGATTTTGTAGTCTTGTCAAGTGATGTAAAGCATAGATGACTACAACCAAACCTGTCACCCACAGATAGCTAAGACCTGCACACCTGTGTCCTACATAATCATTTTGATACAAAGCCAAAAGTTAAGACCCCTCTCACTCTGATAAAAGCTTATTTTTACTGTAATCAAGTGTCATAACACACATCATATTTCTGACTAGCCCCCTTCTCCTGGACTATTATCAGTAAGGTGATAAAGATCCCATCAGCCTAAATACTAAAAGAGAAGGTCGTAAAACATAAACTGATCAGAAGAAATCCCAGTGCGTTGGTCTTGAAGAAATCAGAAACCCAGCTTTCTACGTCTGATGATAGATAAACCAAACTAAGGCAATTTTTAGAAGGTGTACTGTTACTATATGACTTTGCCCATACTAAAACTACAGTAATCAATTTTCAAGTGTCAATGAATTATCAAATAATCATAAAGTTTTTAATAAATGTCTGATTGGCTAGTCCTGATGTCTAAAAATAGACCGGTAATATATTGGATTGGGAGACAGAATGACTGGCAGGGAAAGTTTTCAGTAGTCGTTATTCAATAATGGTGGGAATGGTGTAAAATTTACAGATCCCTACATACTATGTCATTATTTTCTTTTCATGAACAAATAATGTCTCTAGCTTAATTAATTGATATTTCGCACTGACATTCAAAGCACTGACATTTTCTCAAAAAAGGGAATCTATTTATTTATGTAATTAAAAAATTAAAACTAAGCAATTTTTCATTTCACAAAGAACAATTAAAACTTGGCAATAACAAATTGCTATTTAAATTGTCAATTGGTCGTATTTTCCCTTATTTTGAAGCATATGATCTTGATAATGACCAATTGACCACTTAGTATCCTTACAACATAACAAATTTTCATTCACAGAATTATAAGATAAGCATGCATAATAGGTTTACTATGGATTTTTCCGCTGCTGTTATACAAGAATAGTGGACCAAACCTACCTCCGATTTGACATAGGTGCGACATTTTGGCTTAAACGCATTGGTACCACACACGTATAATTCCCCTGATGGTTTCTTGCCAATGACCCTAATATGGTTTTGACATTCTTCCTAAAAAAGACAAAAGAAGAAAACCCCTAATTTAGAGCTCAGGAAGTAGGCACAGTCTAACAAACAAACAACTTGACTTTGGTCAAAATAACCCATGTTAAATTATATAAAAACTTCATGTCATAATTGATAGTACTGTTATTGGAAATGATGACAAGATGCATTTTATTTCAAATTATATGTTGCTGCATGTTGTGATTTTTCTTTGGTTGAATATTTGAACCTTTCATTATATATATTTATAGCAATGCTTTCACACAGTACAGTTCTTTCACCAGCAGTACATCTACTTCTTTTTTTTTTTGAGAAAACAGAGCTTGTTATTTCACACCCATATTTGAATTGGGTGGAAAACCTCACCACATACACATATATATTGACAGTTATAACACATTGAGATGCTAAAGAAGTTCATATTACTTAATCCACCTAAAAACATCATGGGTGTGTCACATACATAGATATTTCATATAGTAAAACCATCAGGTCAGTGACAAAGGATAGCTTTGTTTTTTTCCATGTACCTGCCTATTCTTAGTTGGGGAATTATAAAGATGCAGACAAAATATTGTTAATGTCTCATGTCGTAAAACGCACAACTGAAGCTGACAAGAACGAACAACAGTCCGATAGCATTATTAGTTTGCATTTATTACATAACTTGATATCTGTATTACGTAAAAATGGGAGGGACTCTATGAAACAAATCACAAGTCATTACAATTAATGCTCTGTTCATGAAGCTATAGACTTTTTCCCCCAAACTCTTTAGTGAAAGCTGATTTTTCATGTCCATGCGCCTTTAATTAAGAAGATTATCATAAAGATTTATTCAAAACTGTATAAACAAGATTTCAGGTCTGTCAACACATTCAATAAAATATTAGGCACACTGAAAACTTTTCTTTTAATTTCTGAAATGTGAATCAGATAAAAGATATGAAGAAAAAACACCCCCTGAGATTTTTCTTTACAATTTGGTTTGTTTATTTCTTTACAACAGAAAATTCTTGGTGCACATGAACTTGTAAAGAGCTGCTTCATTCATAATCCCTGAAAATGACTAAGAAAAGTCCTAAGGCATTTAGATTATTCATTTACAAAAGGATTAATCAATATTTTACCCCAATGATGCTCATAGTGAAATTGATTGTAATGATGTTTCTGGAGATGGGCATTTTAACACCCAGTATGAAACTGTTCTGAAACATTTGCTGCAATATTGGAGAGGACATAAAAATAGACAGCTGTGAAATAAATAGACCAAATGAATTTTACTGGAATCTCTAGACATTAATCTAATCCAGAACATGAGAAACCTGGTATCTTTTGTTTTATCATGGCCCATTTGTCCATTGTCTTCTCAAACTAGGCCGCAGTGATAACCCAAAGATAAGTTCCTAATTAACCTTGAGTAACTTAAGCACACACACTGTTAGTCTCTTGATATGCTAAAAGATATGGAATGAGAGCTCTTGTTACCGTTTTTCCTACCTCAAGAGTAAACAATCGACCACGGGACCCCTGACACTGGGTACTCATACCTGCTCAGATCATTTGCAGGTGTATACTTGAGGTGTATATTACACTCTTAATGACCAAGGTAACCTCACACTGACAAATATCATTAGCCCTAAAAGGGTACGAATATAGCATGTTTCAGTTCCATAAGTATGTAATTGTCCTCTTGTACACCAGATTCTGAGTATGTTTTTCAGGAGGAGATTTATGTGGACACAGTGAATGACTATGGTTACACTAATAGGGGATTAAAAACGTCTTGTGTGCATAATTAGGTTCCACAAAGTGACAGAAATGAGACTGCATAAAGAATTTTGAATTGTCATCTAGCTCATCGCTTTCACTCATTTGTTTTTCAGCCTGTCACAGATTTGATGTAAATGTCACTCTGGTTGAGGTCTATAGAGTACTCTGTGCTGTTTTTATCTAGCTGAAGGTCAACCTGATAATACAGCTTACCTTCGTTTTCATTTTGGTTTCACAGACTTTTTTGTCAAACTCTCTGGGTTCCCATTCAATTCTCTGTCAAAAGATAAAAAATTATCAAACATTGATCAACATCTCTGCACTTTAAACTATATAGATACAATATATCACACCTTGTTATTTTTGCTCTCTAAAGATAGAACACAGCAGATAAGATAAAACCTATGTGTATTGTTAATAGATTACTGGTACATTTATTTATTTATAGGGCTGGGTGATTTTGACACAATCATCATAACATTGGCATGCACATCACAGTGCAGTACATCTTGTAGAAGTAACAACTGCCAATCAGGGTTGTGTCAGACTCAATATATAACAAATATATCAGAGCTATACCCTAGATTGCCCCAATGATAAAAAACTCAATAATGAAAGAAAATAAGGGCTTCTGTATTCATTACAAGAGGGTGACACGTGATTGACAGGGGGACACTGTGGTTTAATGAGGATTTGATTATGATCCTTGGTCTGCCTGTCCGATCCATCTGTTGACAAATCCAGTCAGCAGGGTGACTACCCCAGGTGTGGGAGACAGAGGTGACAAAGACACTCCCCAAGCTTTGTCTTCCATTGAGACGTAAGTCATACAATACAGTATTGTATGTCATCTACTTCACAGATTAAGGTGCTATTTAACCTGTGGATTCTAGCAGCAGGAAAAACATTAACTTTATTACTTTCACTTGGAATGGAGAATGCATAATAGTCATTATGCTCCAGATTCTGGGGCACTTCAGGAAACTGTTATGTGCATAGTTGTGTAATAGGTGCTTCTGAATGGGATAGCTATAGGGTTTTTAATTATATCATCATGATTTGGTCTTTTATCTGGTCTTAAAAAACAGGATAGCACTGTTCAGTTCCTTCATCTGGGGGCAATCCACCTGTGTTTCATGTGTTACATAACCTTCTGCTTTACCATTAAAATCTTAATGAAACTTCATAAATTACCTCTAAAACATTTTCTTCTAGTGTCGCCATACTGATGTTGTACATCTTGTTTCTGAAAAAGAAAAGATGAAAATGTGAAAGTCTCAATATAGTTTAATGTTCTCTTTCATTCACCCTCTAGAGTGAAAATACAATTAATGAATAGTGTTTCTCTTCAAAATGAAACTCAGTCAAACAATTCATTAAAGAGGAAAACATTGTTGAAGTTTGCTGATTCAGGCTTTCATGTTTGCTGATTTAAGCTTTCATTTTTCACTATCAGATTTGCCAGACCCAATACTCTGACCATTATCTTCCAATATCTAATCATTGGAGGGCAAGAAAGAAGTAGCTATTCAATTCTTGCTTTTCAACACTTAATGGGTCACTTCAACAGCAGGTCGGTGCCAAGTTTTAAAGATTTAAAAATAAAAACCTTTCATTTTCTCAGAAAACGTTGACTGGATTCTCCGGTTACAGCTTTTATTTGATACAAACTGCACATCAAAATAATTATTTCATTTAACTGAATTTACCAGTCTGTAAGAACATATGTACAGTGTTTGCTCTCATCATTTACTCCTCTCCAAATTGCCCAACATGCACATTTTCTCCATCTCTCTGGTTGTGAATCACTTAATTTTAACATAAATGAACCAGATCTGGTTTCCTACCATCCCAGTTTGTTATTGCAAAATTAAATTACAATATCTCATCTTTCTTTTCTACTTCCTGTCCTCCATATAAATGTATAATTTTTGTGCGGTTAACTTTTTTTTTCTCTCTGTGGTTTTTAATTTAGAATCTCAAAGCTCTCACAGCCTAAATAACAGTGTTAATTATTCAACTGCATGACTCTCTCCTCATTATAGTCGTCCTCGCATAATATTCTGCATAAAATTACACACAATTCATAGTGAAAACTCTAAAAATGAACTTTCAGGAATCTCCCAATTTTTGAGCCAGTACCGTACCTTGCTCCAAGTAACATGGAATCCTTTTCAACTTGGATAAGTTTGTAATGGGGAGCATTGCCGCTTTCGCCTCTGTAAACTTGCACTCCTTGCAAATCTGTGGAATAAATTTTCTTTATTCATTCAAAATACTCAAGTCATGTCAATCCATTACCATTATAAATCAAATCATTCATGCTTTTAACAACTTTATACAATTTAATTCATTTTCTACATATCTTAAATCTGATTTAATCAATCAACTTGTTTTTGTACATGTGGTAGCTGTTTAAAACACCACACATTTTCTATAACTGTTTTTCACTTTTATCAAAATTTTAAGTTCATCATTTACTTTAAACTATATAACAAAATGCAGATGTGTAAATTCAGGTAACACATGCTGGAATGCCACATTGTATTAAGGTCCCAGTTCACACTGAACACTATGAAATACATCAGGTAGGAAGGTAAAATTAAAGTGGCAGGCAGAAAATGATGTGAAATCCTTTAGTTCACAAAGAACCAGGGTACAATTTCTGTGGGAAGTCTCTTCTCACTCAAATTATATCCCTATTTCACACAGAAATTGCTGTGTTGGAAAAGCTTCTGTATGAATTAAGGGAAAAATTCTCAGCAGTCCATTCAGACGAGCATGAATAACAACAATACCGAAATTAACATAAAAAGTAGGGTATAAAATCATATTCTTATTTTAACACCACCGAGGAATTAACACCAATGGGAAAAGAAATCATTTCAATTCATTTTTGGGATAGCAGAACCCTCTGTTCCACATTTCTGAAGAAGTAAGGGATGGATGTAAAAGACATCCTGCTTGACCTGATAAGACTAGTTCTCTCATTGTGGATATTTGCCAACAGCATATACTACGACCCTTTCACATGTATATAACAGCCCATTTCTCAGTTCATGCATCATGACAAATAAGGTACACCTGCGTACCAAGTTTTGTGACTTCCATTTATCATGGATGTTCCTAATTATGCCAGTGAAAACCAAATAAATAAAAGAAAGTTTACTGGATACATGTACTGGTACAAATGCAATCTGTCAAGCACAGAAACTGAACTATGCAGAGAAGTCTTTGATAAAATAATGAAGCTTAGGTGTGATAAATGTAGATAACAGTATGAAGAGATGGCTTCCCTAGATCTATCTGTCTCACTATCTACTAGTTGATAGCAGAGTTTGTATAGTCATGCATCTATCTGAGCATGTCTGACATACCCGATTTCCCAAGAATCACTCTCTTACAACCATTGCAATCCAAACTTTCAAAGATGGGCCTCCTATCCCAATTCTGAGCTAAGTGGTAAATGATGAACTAACTTATCACTAAGTCAACAAAATACAGAGTTCAAGCCAAAAAAGTTGATTTATCATAGAAATATGGACATAAACAGACTATCCTGTATTTTATGACATGCCACATGACCACATACACAATAAGAATTATGATAGTTAGTCCCTACACTTAATGAATTGTCATTTCACAATTACCATGTAATTATGAAGAACACATTACCATATCTCAAAACGCATTGCCAGGACTAACCAGTAGTTTTTTTTCCTGCTTATTATTTCTCAGTGCTTTTATTTGAATATTTGTAACAATGATGGTAAAATAATATTTGAACAATTCTCTTGGATTAACAGTGTTAAATAAACAATCTAAATAAATTTATGGCATCATTTGGCAGGAAAAATCAATTTTCTAATTCACTGTTGTAATTTATTAGAAACTGAGTTAAGGGTGTATCAAGTCGAATTATTGACTAGTTCTTTACAGAAATTAAATTCTCTGTGGTGTATAGAGTGATAGTTAAAAAGTCTACAGGATTCCTAAACACATATTGACAAACTAATGGCATGTGCAAATATATGGGCCCTGGTGCCTTTTCTTGCGTCACGGCTTCCAAAATGGCCCAACCTTGCAACCTATATCAACAAAAATCTGTCTATTTATTTGTTGTACTTATTAAAAACCTAGGTTATGCTACCAGAGTTTTAATACTCCAAGACTTGTTTAATTTATGTATTGCTTTGTCATTTATAAACAAGAAATGTCTTCACTGTGACTTTCGTGAAGTGATAGTAACCTCTGTATTTTCTTAATTGAATCAAATTTTTTTAGTTTCAATTTACAGCTTGCCTATGTAGTTTAACCTAAACAAAGTCATCAGGTACCAGGAAACTACAAAGCAGCCAAAATATCAACCCAGAACCTGTCTTATTACAGGTGATTTAAAAAATTAGTCTTTATCTAATAACTAAATGTATCCCATCCACAAATTATTCAAAATAAGAACATAGAAAGTAAAGATACATGTAACTTGGATGGGTCATTGGTCTTGGCTATTTTCAGTCCACCTCAAGACAATCGCACTCGAGCCGTATAAAAGGGTACACTGTGAAGAAATCCCTCGTGATTTTGTTTTGCTCCAATCTCATTGTAAATCTGCCCAATGTAGTAGTAGCGTCACAGTGCCAAATGGAACATGTCCAACAGATTAAAAACTGCAGATTATTTTGATGATATTACAAAAAGAACTGCGCTTGTTCATGAACTCGTAAACTTTTTGAGTGCAGTAATTGTAGTTTGTCTATTGTTAATAATCTTTTATTGACATTGAGGCCAAAATTTTAATTTTATTTATTTTAAAAATTTCTGCAATCTCATCTACTCATATTTTTTGTCTGAAGAAGCTCAATATAAATACAATATAGTACTAAGGTAATCTAGTGATTATTCTCCAAACAGACAAAATCCCCTGTTAGTCAGGAAGAGGAGGCGTAAATCATATCAGATTACAAAAATCTTGATCTGTCTTCTATTGAGTCATGTTTTGTAATACATTCATTTTATATTAACTGGTGTCTAACAACAACTAAAAACACAAAAGGTTTCTTTTTAAAAACAAAAAGGAAAGTGCATTAGAAATTAATTTAGATCTTATAAAACCCCACACCATGTATAGGGATAAGAAAGGATTACCATTAAACAAGACCAAGGTCACTCCAACCACATCAAAACAATCAAAGCTGATTTGGAGAGATACTATAAAGGAGCCATTTAAAACTCTTCTCTTTTGGAATAATAATTTTCCCCTTAAGAAAGATATGAAACCTACATATAAGTGTTATACTACCCCCTAGTAAGTAATGACATTTAGAAATAAGCTCTATCCCCAGCGGAGAACAAGTTTATGGATTTAAAAAAATCAAAACTGGTGAAAAAAAAGCCAAAGGGCTATGATTAAAAGATAAAGTGTTTTTAAAACTGTTAAACACCTACTTTATGAGCAATGCTACAATAAACACTGCTCAAGATTACTCAAGTTTGAGACAAGTATTAATCTTTTGGCTCTTTTTCAGATTCAAACTTACAATAATTTTGAAAATCCATGTATCCGTTAGTCAGGGATTTATGCTAATGCTTTTATTATCTTAACTATATTTGGACATTAAAACAATTGGGTATTATTTTGTGACTTTACATCAAAAGTCAACCTAGCTCTTCAAGGCATTTTTCTGTACTTTCAAATTAGAAAAAAATCACTAATGGATGCCAAAAAATGTAACCCTTAAGTCAAAAAATGTCTGGAATCTTGTGAGAAAGTGTCACATTGATTCAATTTGCCAAATTGAATGCATAATTGAAATGTCAATCTGATTTAAAAAGTCAGACCAGAAAAAGCTAAGAGTAAATTAATTTTATATTTCATAATTTTAATAGAATGTTGATTATATTCTAAAATATGTATGAATTGTTAATACAGTAAAACCTTCTTGCAGTGAAGTGCCAGGGATGGACGATTTTGTTTAGTAGTTATAAACATTATTTGTTTTAGACATTAAGTTCACTATATATTTTTAAGTGTCAGGGAAAAAAGCCCCTTAGTTGAAGCATCAATTCATCATAAGGTGTTTGCTGGAAGGGTGTTTTACTGTACCATTTATTGTTTATCAAGTAAAGATTACGATGAATGGATATTGCCAATAACAGGAAAGTCTCCCTGTCTTCTTGGTACTATAGAACATACCCATCTGCCAATTCTATCTTTAGTCTTCTGACATGATTTTATCTAAAAAGCCTTTTCTACTGTGGCAGAAGACAAGCAGATAATCCCTCTATAAACAGATGAAGCTAATCTGACTTCCATCAGATGGTGCTGTATGAATCCTAATGAATTGCTTATAGATTACTAATAAGCCCACCTACCAAGCAATTAACAGAGATAAGACCAAGAAAGTGAAAGGTGATGTCAGAGACTGAAAGGACAGGTCCAGAAGCCATGCCAGGCACAATCCAATCCAATAAAAGCCATACTGAGATCCAGCAGCAACCATAAACAGGTTTATAGCTACGGTCAATTATTAATGCTGATCTATCAGTAGCAGACTCCCCTGGGACTAAAATCATTAACAGTTCAATGCTGTAAGGTGCAGAAGGTGCCTATGAACACTATGCCTCTAAAGTTCAAAGAACATGTACATGCATATTGGGTGTATGCTATAACAGAGTTGAGGTGAATCACAATCCAGAGGGGATTGATAACATGATGAACTGACTGATATCAAGCTAAATGACCCCCTGATTGATCACCCACCATGAAATACTGGTTCTGAACCAGAGTGGCCAGCAACAGCCATGTATTCTAAGGTTATCAGCAAAAACAACGGGGCAAAAAGACTTCATCTTCAACATCAGATAACCAGATAAACAAGCAAGACACCTCACATTAAGTGATGTGCACCCTGCTTTCATGGTCTGACCCTGGCCCTGTGACACAGGGCATTAGACAGTCAGAAACATGTTCCTAGCTCTCTGTTGTCATGTTCAACAGGTGAATTCCCCTAAGGACCTTCAATAACAACAGGAAACATGGAAACATTGTCTGCCTCAATTCATCTGGTATTGCTTCAGACACCAGGTCAAGAACTGTCATGTCTTGCAATTTCCTGTCACTGAAATGTTCCACTATTGGACCTTGAACTTCTTATTATTCAGAAAATACTACCTCAATAGATCATTTATTGAAGGCTTGACTGATTAAGTATTAGTGTAGCATTTATGAATTCATCAATTATTCT